TATCAGTCTGTCCCTGATAGTTTTTTTGGGGAGAGTGGCTTCTTTGCTGCCCTTCTTGAACCCAGGGCATCTTCCAAAAGTCTTCGCCTCCCTGTGCGTGCAGTTGCACTCACACCTGCCTGCTGCCATTCCTGAGCTCACAGCTGAATCATCTTTAGGAGACAGTCCTGGCCGTTGCTGGACTTTCTTGAGCGTCCTAAAGCCTTCTTCACAACAACTGAACCTCTTTCCTTGAAGTTCTTAAAGAGCCGATAAATGGTTGATTTACCTGCAATCTTAGTAGCAACAACATCCTTGCCTGTGAAGCCCTTTTTATGCAGCACAATGACGTGTTTTCTTGTAGGTAACCATGGTTAACAGGAAGAACAATGATTTCAAGCCTCACACTCACATAATGATCTTCAGCCTTGTGCTCGTCAACATTTTCACCTGTGTTAACGAGAAGATTATTGAAAGGATCTCAGCAGATCCTTTTATGGCAGCGATGAAATGCAGTGGAGGCTTTTTTTGGGATCAAGTTCATTTTCATGGCAAAGAAAAGACTTTGCAGTTCGTCGGATCGCTCTTCATAACATTCTGGAGTAATGAAATCATAGCAAATTGCCATCATAAAAACTGAAGTAGGAAACTTTCTGAAAACCAATGTTTGAGTCATTCTCAAAACTTTTGGTCATGACTGTATGTAAAGGGTTTTTAAAGTCTGGTTGTACTGAAGTCTCTGACAAAACAGCCCTTCCAGCCCCTTGTCCATGAACTCGGTAGTCACTTTCTTGATGAGAATGTGATCGAATTTCAAGTCTTATTAAACATGCCATGATCATGATTTTGATGACACTTTAAAAACACTCTATCAAGTTATCCATAAGTCTAAACGTCCAGAGTAAGTATCTCTATTAAATATGAGAGCCTTATGATTGTACCGTACCTCCCTGAGCTCCTGCAGCAGGCTGCTCAGGTGCTCGCTGTCAGCCTGCGCACTGGAGGCAGCCACTCGACTGTGATTCAGTTCCAACTGGAGCTCCAGGAGACGACCCCTAAAGTAGGCCTCCTTGGTGGCAGACTCCTGCAGCAGTGTCTCCTCATTGTTCTCCCCGTCCTCTGCGACCTTACGCTGGGTGGAGTATGCCTGGCCGAATGCCTGGAACAGGACAGGAGGGGAAAGGATTATTTCTCTTGACTTTACCTGGGGAGAAAGGTACAAAAATGAAAGTCCCTTTCACCTTGTATAAATGATACATGAGTGATTAACAAGATTTTTTTTATCCTTTATTTTTATATTGTTTCATGTACTTTAACGCAATTAGTAGAGACCAAGGTAATGCATGCCAGATAGAATAGAAAAGTGCTACATGAGAACCGGTCCATTTAACTATCTATTTATTATTTACCATCCAGAGTAAGTATCTGATTAGTGGCCATATTTCTAAGATTTTTAGGGCCTAGTACAAGAACCTCTGTTTTATCTAAATTTAGAAGCAGAAAATAAAAGGTCACACAGCTCTTTTTTGTCTCTAGGACATTACTTCAGTTTGACTAATTGGTATTTGATATCTGGCTTCATGGGCAGATAAAGTTAGGTATCATCAGTATATGCTATGTCTTCTAAAGGAAACGTATGTAATATAAACAGAACTGGTCCTAGCACTGAACCCTGTGGAACTCCATAATTAACCTTAGTGTATAAAGAGGATTCTGTATTTACATGAACAAATTGGAGTCTGTTAGATCAATATGATAAAAACCACTGCAGCACAGTACCTGTAATACCTATGGCATGCTCTAATCGCTTTAATAAAATATTATGGTCAACAGTATCTGACGCTGAACTGAGTTCTGGCAATGGTTTAACTACTGCCGTGAGCCTTCAGCAAGTGACCTAATTTAAACATTGTATCAGACTAAGTTGACAGTTCCTCTGTATGTTTTAATGCAGCCTTACTTCTGTACATTTACTGTATGAAACAAATGGCAGTGGATGGAGCAGCTATGAAGTTCACTTTTCTTCACATTCCAATTTGTTGCAAAAGTAATTTTTTTTATAATAAAGCTATTCAAATTATTCAAATCTTTGCAGCCCTAGATCAATCCATCTCTGTTAAGAATTGTTAAAATGAGTGTGATGCTATTACTAAAATAACTGATAGCTACAGCTCTAGATTGATGATATTTAAGATTGAAGCATTAATTAATGGTAGGACTTTGATGAGCAGTCTTGTGGGAATGGGGTCTAAATGACACGTATTGCTTTTTGAGATTAAATAGAACAGGATACGAAGCATTAAAACATGTTAAAAACACAAAAGCCTTATTAAACGCAGTGTTGGGCCCAGAAGTCGTATTAAGTCCTGTTAAATAAAACCTTAAAGTGAACGAGGGCTTACTTTCTTCTTCACATGACTCTACCTCACCTTCTTTGCCTCCATCATAATTACTTTGACTTCAGAATGCAAAAATAAGTCGTTTTTAAGCATTTGCTGTGACCAAATCTCTTGAGGTTGCTTAACAAGATAACATCATTATGTGTTACAGTAAGCTGTCACCGGGTTGGACTCATCATAGGCCCGTACTTAATGAATAATTCATCACATCCTCTCCATTTTTGTGCGGATGCTTTGAAACCCTGTCCAGGCATGCATCATTTAGACCTCCAGGCTGTTTTTAAGAGCAACTCAGTTTTGGTTGTTCCTTCCACAACTGACAGAGATCAGAAATAGAGGCCAAAAACAAGTCACCGCAGCGTCTCGATCTATCACTGAAATGAATCATATCTCAGCAATTTTCAAGCAAAGCTCCTCCTGGATGAGAATTACTTTCTACTAACTGATTTTTGCCAGCATAAAGACTTTTCTTCCAAAGCACCTGCAGAGTGAAAGGATCCATCCCACAACATTAGGTGAGTAAGGATGGCAGTGTCTGATGACTATAAAGGGAGGGGTGCCATTGGCTGCATGACATCACAGAGGATAACTGCACTCGGTCCCCTTCTGTTTTTAGCCTCATCAGCTACACTAATGAACTCACTGCATTTTCCCCTCTGCTTCACTTGTCACATATCCCATTCACTCAGGCTGACTATTAAAAGACATGCGGTGTTTGTTTCTGACCTCTTAGCATCAGAGTACTTTTTTTGCCTAAAACCTTAACACTACTGTGCAAACCTGTTAACCAGCACCTTATCAACAACATTGCCAGTGCAATAAAAAACATTCATAGAAGAAAAGGGACATAGAAGAACACCATCAGTCATGAAATGCCCTGCCCAGAACCCAGACCTCAACATTGTTAAAGCAGCGTGGCATCATTTTGACAGAGAATGAAGGAAAAAGACAGAAACATCAAAGAGATCTGAATGAACCCTGGACACCTATTCCTGAAGTATTATTTACAGAAATCACAGAAAGCTGCCTGACAGTGTTCAGGTTGTGCTGAAGAATAAATAAGAAGACTTTTGCAAGTATACACTGTCCATATTCTTACAGATATCCTGTTTGTATTATGTGAGTATAAAAAAATGATAGTGATGACATCCAAATACCAATGATTAAAATGTCCTGCATAGGGAGCAGATTTAACAGAAACAGTAAAACCCCCGAAATGAAACCTTATGGCACACCGTAGGAAAACGATAGGAAGAGTATGGAATTACATTTCTATCAAAAGTCAAGTGTGACAAAAAATACAATTCAGGCAACTAATTTAATTTCACGGGTGCAGGTAGATGGATAGGAACTCAGCAGCCACACACACAAAGAAGTCATCCCAACATGGGCGTGCTGCTTTCTTGCATTTGAGCAATATCTTTAAAATTAGAAATATCTGCTTTCATCATTCGTTGAAAACTGGTTCATGCATTTATTACTTCTGGGCTGGACTACTGTAATTCATTATTAATGGGCTGCCCTACAACTTGTTGAAAAACCTTCAGTTGATCCAAAATACTGATATAGACTAGAAAGAGAGAGCATATTTCCCCCAAATTGGCTTCTCTTCATTGACTCCCTGTTAAATCTCAAATCTCCTCACAGATCTCATAGTACCATATTACCCTAGTCTAAGACTGCTGGCTGACTTGTGGTTCCTTGAACATTTAACAGTGAAATGGGAGGCAGAGCCTTCAGCTTTCTGGCCCCTCTTCTGTGGAACCAGCTCCCAGTTTGGATTTGGGAGCTGGTTCCACACTCTCTGCTTTTTAGTGAGTGTTCAGTCTCCAGAAGTCTCCTGAAGAAGTCACTTGGATGAGTGATGAAACGTTTCCCCCAATGAAAACACTACGTACAGATGAACAGAATCAACCTTTGATGGGTAATAGCAAATATTCAAAAGGGGAAAAAATTCAGAATGAACTGCTAATTGGGTTCCATTTTAGAAGTTGCAATGTTTTAAAGTTTACCAGCATAAGACATCTGTTAAGAAAAAAAACCCAATAAAAAAAACTTAAATGCTAAATTTTATATTTATATATACACTATTTACTCGATGAATAGTTGCAGCCCTGGATGAGAGCATGCAGGCAGTCCTGGAGGATGAATGAATTTATGACAATGACTGCCCCCCATGCTTGCCTGACCTAAATCTGCTAGAACACCTAAGGGACGTCATATTTCACTGCATCTGACACTGCCAGGTTGCACCTCCGACTGTCCAGAAGCTCAGTGATGTCCTGGTCCAGGATGGTTTCCTGTGTTCTTGGGCCACTTAACACAAACTTTAAAATGTGTGAGGGATTGCCTGAATTAACACTTAGGAGTGGATTTATTCAAGCATGGTCATAGGAAACAACATTAGTAGGGCTGGGCTATATCATACTGTTCACGGTAATACCGGTATAATGTTGGGCAACGATAGGAAAATGAAATATCGCCATAGAATATGGGTAAAACGCGCATGCGCAGTGCCTTTGTTTACATACGCACATGGCGGCGATGCAGAATGAGAAGAGCGAAAGTGGATGGTTAAATGAAACGGATGAACCAGAACTGGTTTGTAAAAATGCTGCAACTTCAGTGGTGTGGGACTGGTTTGGCTTTCATCCGTCAGATACACAACAAAGCACTATTTTTGGTAGTGCATGCTAGCGGGCCGTCGTTATTACTGTGTTTTTTGGAAAATACGGCACACTTAAAATCAATCTTTGATTTTTCTGAAAATCGACAGTGCCCCTTATAATCCCGTGTGCCTTATGTATGAATTCTGGTTGTGTTTACTGACCTGGAAATGATTTTATGTGGTACACGGCGCTCGAAAATCTGTCAAATGTTTCAGTACGACTTTGCTAAGCTATGAACCCGCACCGCTTGATGGATTGTCGGAGCATTACGGCTATCGTAGGCAGGAGCCTGGCGGAGTGATACTACTGTGCTTCAACATAATGTTACCATATTGTGTGTGTATAACCTCTTTTTAAGTTTTGTGGATATTATACATGGTTATGCTGAGGATATGTCGGCCAATTTCCACTGGAAATGCCTTTTGTTTAAACTGTCAGCAAGGAATTTGCACTGTTACATTTTTATATAACTTTAATGCACTTAAAAAAGCTGCTTGTTTAAGTGAAAATACATTGATGGTTTTTTTTTTTTGCCCTAATAAAGTTGAGGAATTGTAAAGTATTTTGTCTAGTGTCAATTATATCGTCAGTTATATCGTTATCGCAAATTTTCAATGTATGATAAATATTTTTGGTCATATCGCCCTGCTCTAAACATTAGCTCCAAAAAGTTAAAATTTCATGAGAATTATTTTTTGCAACCTGAAGACAACAAACACAATGGTAACTTGTGCTGCTATTAGTACACGCTAACTTAGTCTTAATTGTTGCTGTTCATAGCAATGAAAACAACTGTACAATATCCCAAAAAGTTGATTCTGTTCTGTCTGCATCTGAGGCTGAATCTCATGTGGTTCCTGTAATCACCATCTTACGTGCTGTTTGCTCATACTGACGTACACATTTAGGCTGTCCTTGCCAAAGTGGGTTAGAATTTCTTGATGCATGCTAGATGATTGAGCATGCATCAAGACAAACTGTAAAAAACACAAAAATGAATCATGGATTCAGTCCTGCTCCTGTAGGTCATCTCTGTCCTGAATGTATTTTTAAAAAGAAGACAGAAGAGAAACAGAGGCAGTAGAGATGTAGCCTGGTCACTTGAATTTAAGAAATTCCTTATAGAAACCTAAATATTCTCTAAATTAATGGAGTCGCATGGACACATACACATTCTCACAAACTGGCGGATTGGTGTTAGCATACAGTAGCTCTCCAATAAATGTAAGTCAGAAAAATTACACAATCCCAAAATTATCCCTGAGACTGACTATGAGACTCACTGGAGGTGAATCATTATCACCATTAAGCTCCAGTGTGGATAAAAACCCCATGCAGAATTACATAATTCTATAAAATATATTGAGTAGTAAAGCTGAGTACTTAAAAGTCTCGAAAGACAAACAACCTACACGTGGTGAAATGCCCCAATAACACGAGAGGCGGTGTACACCCTGGACAGGCCACTAGCTTGATACAGGGTTAGCACAGAGAGACAGAAACCAGTCGATTATGAGTGAACACCTAATCACCAGTTAACCTAACCTGGTTAATTACGTGTCTTTGGACAAACACATGGAAATTCCACCACACCACACTTCGCAAAGATTCCACAAAGTCAAATTGGGGTTGTTCTTGCCAGGAGGCAACAGTGCTAACCACTGCACCACCTGCCAACTAGCATGAAGGAAACCAAAGTCTGTGGGGAGTATGGTTGCAAAGCTGAAACTTAAAAAGAAAGGGACAACCAGAAGTGTAGCCTGCACCGTTTTTTAACTCTAAATGGAGAAACTTCGCCCAGCCTGGACACTGCTACTATATCTGGTATGTTGACTGAGATTTATATAAAGCTCTTCTAGTCTTACTGACCACTCCAAGTGCTTTTCTACAAAAAGCCACATTCACACATTGATATAGCCCTTTATTCTTTGCCATAAATGCTTCAACTTTGCCACTCAGACAGTGACGGACTGGAAATTTGGGGATTTGGTATCCTGCCCAAGGACACTTTAATATGTAGACCTCTCTGATTTACCCTGAGATTGAAGGAGAGTGAATACTAATCTCATGTTCATTATATGGACACAAACGCAAACAGGTTTATGAGGTTTCAGCGTTGTTGTATTGTATTTTTTCCTATTTCTTAAAGACATTTTCCATAGATGCAAACAAAGAAATGGGCAGGTGTGGCTCAGGTGGTGGAGCAGGTCAGTGGATTGACTCCTGACTCCTCCAGTCCTACTTGTGCCCACAATTAACCTTGGACAATGTACTGAACCCTGAGCTGCTCCTGATGCATCTATTGGAATTTGAGTGTGAGTGAATGTTAAAAAATGCTTGGGCATAGATTAAAGCACTGAATGCGTATGTATGGGATTGAGTAAATGAGACTTGCAGCAGGAAGTCCTGTGAGTGCTCAACAACAGCACCATAAAAGTACCAGCCCATGTAATAATAATGTGTTTTGTTTCCAGCAGCCTGCAATACAAATTCCTAAAGATACAATTTAAACTGGTTCTTTGAAAAGTTGCCTGTTATGTGTAGTCATAGGGTGTCTTTTCATGTTCGAATGATTCATAAGTCAGTGTTAAATGGATTTAAAAACAAAAACCATTCCTCTGAAAATCGTCAGGTACAAGGACTGGACTGAAGATGAGTGGAAAAAGCTGCCATAGTCCAAAAAAGCCCATGAGAAAGCTAAGAACTACTGAAACCAGTTAAAAATGACAAGAAAACCAGACTCCTTGGAAGCATGATATAAAGAAATGGTGGGTGTATGAGGGGAATTTAGTATTTTGCCCAGAAAGTTTGTAGTGTGTGAAATATAATGACTTGATTTAAAAACAGATTAAATAAAGAGCATAAAGCAACTAGCCTGTATTACAGTACTGTCTTTAATCTTTGACAAGCTAAGCCATATTGGCTAAAGAGCTGGCATGTCCAGCAGGTGTGACTACAGGTGAACTGTGCACAGACAGGCTTTTTAATGAACCACCCTGTGAGCTCATAACATCCTCCAGCGGGTGCAGGTGAGAAGGTGCTGTCAGAAACGCCTCACGCTAATCAGATCAGTGCATGGATTTCGAGTAAGGAGTCATACCCCTGCTGACCCCACCTCCTGCAGCTGCTCCAGCTCCACCCTTAGCGCCTCCTGCTCGGCCTCCAGGTCGGCGTACTGCTGCTTCAGGCTCTGGTTCTCCTCCAGAACCGCCAGTCCGCACTCCGCCGCCCGTATCTTCTCGCGGTTGGCCTCCGCCAGCTCCCGGGTCAGGCGCTCCACCTCGGCCCGATATTCCTCTACCGTATCCCCGCATCCTGCTCCTCCGGCAGCCATCGTTCCTCTGTCCCTCCCTCTGCCCTCTCTTCCCTGCGGCGGACGAACAGAGAGCCCTGCCAGAGGGAGAAAACAAGCCCCACCGCCTCCTCTGGGGGAGTCCCAACGTCCTGCAACTCAAACAGCACCAGCGAGCATCCACGGCTTTCACAGCGCTGCTGCCATCGCAGCGGGAGTATCCTCAGCCGTGCGATGCTCGGAAAGATGCGTCCTCTCTCTCCTCCCTCTGATTGGTTTTTCTGCTTATTCACCGGCAGCAGGACGCCATCTCTGCCTGCAGCCGTGAAGCAAGGCACCTTCCTCTCTCCCTGTCATCCTGCTGCACACTGAGCGTTTACAGTAATACATCCATGCACTCAGCGCCCTCTGGAGGTAAGAGTATAAATACATTCTTTCTGTTTTATGGGGGCGAACAAAACAAAGAGTTTTAATAGTTTCATTCCTCAACACTAAAAACTAGAAAGCATTCGCATACAGCTGTACGTCTTTTACAGCCTTAGAGCTTTCACGGGCTCTTGAAGTGCGCTCATCCAAGTAACACTGACACTACGTGCTGTGATAATATTACACACATAAGTAATACAAATAAACAATCAATCTCTGTTTGAAATATTAGTATAAGTCCTGTTTACAAAGTAGCTTTGATGCCTTCCATGTCACAACGTTTAACTGTGTCTTTTACACGATGAAAAGTCTGAGTTAAAGTCTGAAAACGAAAACGAGCTGACAGGTAGCTCATGAAGAATAGTGGTGGGTAGATCAACCCAGGTATTGATAATAACGATAGATATTTATAGAACATTTCAACTATAGAAGCGCCATTAAATAATTATACATCTAATAAATAATGACACACTGCTCTCCCCCACATAAGCCTCCTTTATGGGTGAAAGGTATTGGTATGGACATTACTGTCCGTTTTTACTTGATAACGGATCGATATCAACATTTCTCTCAGCACTGCTGAAGAAGCCTTTATTCAATATTTGTTCAATCAAAATTTAAAAAGTATCAATGTCCGTTAGAAGCGATGACACTTTTACTATGAAAGGCATCGGAAGTGTTATCGTCATGATTAGCGGAACTGGCGTAACACACCGGCAACATCGTCGTCTCTATGGTTGTTTGGCCGTGTCGCACGTTGCTAGTTAGTTGCAATGTTGTAGCTATTAGCACGGTAGCCGTTCCTTCGCTGGAAGGTAGAGCTGTACGACAGACCTACAGTTTATTCTTTCTGATTCACAGTGTGAGCAGCAGCAGCTAACTGCTATCCAACGGAACATAACCTACAAAGCTAGCTTGTTATCTTGTTTTCCTTCTACTCCGCTAGTTTTCCTAGCTTGCTAGCTAGCCGCTAGCATCCAACCGTCTCCTCTATCAGTGCAAACCGTCTCCCGGCCGGCCGGAGGACCATGGCGATGAGACAGACTCCCCTCACCTGCTCCGGTCACACCCGGCCTGTGGTGGACCTGGCCTTCAGTGGAATTACTCCTTATGGATACTTCCTCATCAGCGCCTGCAAGGGTGAGAGGTGTTGGCAGGACTATGAACATAAAGTAGCCTGTGAGAATCTGGTGTTACTTCTGGACGTGGTCTGTTGCGGGTTGGGCTTTAAAATGAGCCCTTTATAAAACATGATGTTCTTCCATTGATTGACTTTGTGTCTTTGTATTGTTTTCTGGTGTCATTAAGTGTGTCTGTGTGCGCTCGGGGGCGCATATGTGTGTGAGCCTGAGAGAGAGAGAGGCACATGCGGCTAGCTTAACTACTGATGGTTTGCCTTCCTCCTAAAGTTTGATCTCGAATTGTACAACTTTGTTGAAAAAGTATAGAAAAGATTACATCCTGTTTATCATTATCTGATCATGTCCTAAATTCCATGATCAGATAATGATCGTCTCTGGGCTGTCAGATGGTATTCATGTCACTGAGTTGCTACAGATCTGCAACTAAACAGCCCTGAGAAAGATGGCGTTTGAGAGCAAACAGTGTTCCTATTCCTAGATTTCCTAGGTTAAGTTCATTTTTTTCCTTTTCTTTCTTTTAGCAAGAGTCATTTATTAATAGCTTGCATGGAGGATGCTGACTCACCAACTAATCAGTATTGAAGTGAGCAGTAGTGAAGCTGTTACAACTGAAGGCAAACATTTTCTGAACAATGAAGGTGTGCCTTCAGTGTCAAGGTTGTGCCTAACTGTTCCAGGGTTAAACCAACACATTGCAAAAGATGCAGCTTTTGCTTTTTGTTTGCACTGCACTCTTAACTTTCACTACCACTTAGCAACTAATTGGCAAGTGCTTGCAGACAAGTCTGCATGTTCCATACAAACTGTGACGTGGCAGTCTGCTAGCAAAAAGAGCAACCGCAAGGAGGTTTTCAATGCAGTACCAACTCTTTACAACCAATTTTACCTAGCAACAACCAAATGTCACCCTAGAAGTCAGTGACCCCTGCTTGTCGCACGGTCAGCAGGACCTAGCAGACACCTGTGGATTATCCTTACTGCCCCCTGCCGTTACACTGTGATGCTCACATCCTCTCTGCTTCTCTCCATCAGATGGCAAGCCCATGTTGCGCCAGGGAGACACAGGGGACTGGATAGGAACGTTTCTGGGTCACAAGGGCGCTGTCTGGGGAGCCACTCTAAACACAGACGCCACCAAAGCAGCGACTGCTGCTGCCGACTTCACAGCGTGAGTTCACACACTCAGACTAAACTAGCCTGAAAGAGGCAGTTATCCTGAGTGCCCCTCTCTGTGGATAATCTGTCATGCATCCATTGAAAGTGTTGTATTGTTGTATGTACTCTGAAACCTCAGTTCATGTGTGATCTGGTCTCATTTCATTTCAAGATAACCTTAAACGGCTGTTTTGCTTCATGCTATGGTATTGAAAATCGATCACTTAGATGTGAGTGCTAGTACAGGCTTCAGGGACCTTTCTAGCTTGGCTATAGCAGTGACGTAGCCCACATGCCTTTGTGATAGACATGGTCACCATGGTGACCCTTGCTTTCCCAGCATCCTTCTAAGAAAAAGCTTTACACTGAATAAAGTAAAGCCATTTTTATTAGTGTGATCATGAGCTGAACTCTGTGGACAATAGAATATCTTGCTGCGCCTATTATTTCATTCTTATCTATCCCTTTGTTCCAGCAAAGCAAGGACAATTCTGCTATTCAACATTAAGACTTTTAGCTAGTGCCAACATTCAGTGACACAACAGCTAAATCTTTAGTCCCGCTAAATGTTCTTATTTTCCAAGAGTCTGTTATAAGCCAATATATTGATGTACCGTCATTCTCACTGATTTGTAAGACGAGGCTCTGACTTGTTCTGTCACATGTATGTCACAGAGGAAACAGTTTTGCACACTGAGCTTTGAATGAGTTTTCTGCATATATGTGTCTTCTGACTTTGTCTCTTGTATAAAGCAGCCTCTGCATTCACACATATTACACTGACACACACACCCCCAGTGTGAGGTCACTGTTAACAGCTCCCTTGTGGACTTTTGCAGAAAGGTGTGGGATGCAGTGAGTGGAGATGAGGTCCTGTCTCTGGCACACAAACACATTGTGAAAACTGTCAGCTTTACTCAGGTCAGTGCACTTCATCATGTGTTTCTGTATGTGTTTCTCTACTTGTGGGTTTAAATTGATGCACACCTTTCACCAAGAACAGAATATAGTTGATAAGGTAACATTTTAGTCCAGTCAGTGCTGTGAAACAAGTTCTTTGTCAATGTTGATCACTAACCAGAAGTTAACAGGCCCTGGCCTGCTCAAGTTCAAATCACCATTTAGTAAAAGATTTAAGATTTAAGCTCAAATGTTTAAGTAAACATTTGAGCCTGCATGCCCGTAGTGATTCTAGGGCCAAAGCTTTAGCAGTGTTCAGCTCCAGTTCCAATGTCAGGCACGCGGTGCCTTGTAATAAATATTAGTTAAATATGCTGTTTGCAAAGATTCACCGGATGCATGTTACAGTATTGTCTTCAAAAGCAAACAGATTATCTGGATAACCTATTGTAGTGCGTGAGGTGTTTTCTCACCTATAGTTGGTTTCCTCTGGTCTGAATTGTTTGATGAGTTTGCAAACTTGTAGCTTTTCGAGCCAAAATGCAACACTACAAACCGCGTGAGAATGTTCAGTCTGCTCATTGGCTAGATGTGTCTGGGATGGAAGAAAGTGCTGTGTTGTGTATTATTGGAAAACTTGGAGAATTTACATTCATTTCACAGGTAGCTTCTAGCCCGTACAGACCTTTGCACATCTGTAGTACCTTGTTCCATCCCAGAATACAAAGCATTCTGTTCATCAGTCTGAAAAAACGTTTCTCCCACTGAAAACGTTTGTGGGATTTTCTTACCTGGATGATTGAGCAATCATCAGGAGATGGCTACATAACCTTTTTTTTAGCTCAAGCTTGTAATGTAGAGGTTTGGGTAGTTGGTTCTGATCGGGGTTGAATCACGTTGATTTAAATGAACTAAGCGCACAGCTGTGAAAACACCTTAAGAATCACTTACCGTAGAAGTTCTCCCACTCCTGGTGAACTCTGGAATAGTGTACGCAGATGGACACATTTGGGGCACCATGAATTTTGAATAAAGCACCACACTTAAAGAACTCAGAGCAAGTGTTTAGCCACAAAAACTTCACTTTCAAAGTGAAAAAATAAATATTATACAAATACACACACACACACACACACAAACAAGGTAGAGAACCCACAGAAAATGAGAGGGATTCAATGATGACCTTTGGATACTGGTTGACAAAGTGAGAGATATGGAGGGCACATGAAGTGGCAAGCTCCTGTGTCTGAGTCTCGGTGGGATCTCAGCAGTTTCACAATCACAGCAGCAGCTCCAAAGACTGCGAGAGGAGGAGGAGAAAAGTGCCTCTGCAGACCACGCCCTGGCCTTTACAGCCATAACTGCACTATAGCGCTCACAGCTCTGTGGAACAATGAAATGTGTCACTGTCTGTGCTTTTCATGCTTTGTTTTTTGAGCTTGTTTTTTGCGTTTTGCCTCGTCCTCATTGAACTCTGCTATAGCTTCCTGCTCTATTCCGGCTCACTTATCAACCAATCAACATTCGGTAGCATGTCTCACATGGGTGACAAGCCCCCACGCCCTCACTCCTCTTACAACTGAAAACTGTTTGCAAAATGACACATGTGCAGGATTATAAATCCAGCTTTACTCTCTGTGCTTGTTGGGTGGGAGTGAAGAGCCTCCCATGAATACGTGCTTCTTTTTGACAGGACAGCAACTGCCTGCTAACTGGAGGTAACGACAAACTGCTGCGTATCTATGACCTGAGCAGCCCTGAAGCAGGTAAGTGGACATGCTCATGCACACACGTGTATGTGTGGACCATATGACCAGTACATGCTCCCACATATCCATATGTACTGTCGCTAGACCATTACTAGCCACTTGCTGCATGTACTGCAGAGCTGTGTGGGTGGTTATACAGCAGCCGGCAGCATTGGTTTGTGCTGGAACACACAGTAAGACTTGGTAAAATCACAAAATGATCTGCATGATCACTCTTTTGAGATGAAGCTGACAAATTCATCAAGTGTAAATAATTATATACAATGTAACAGTTTATTGTGAAAACTTCCACAGCAGCAGGTGTTACTATGGTAACTCATGAAGAAGGTGCCGTCTGTGCTGGTGGAGGAAGTTGCCTTTATCGATCACTTGTTTACAGTGAGCAGATGGTTACTGTCAGCACAGCTTGGAGCAGTTCACAGCTCACTGTAACCTCACAGAAAGATCCTGGACACGTCAAAACCTAGATATGCCCCAAAGAAGAAAATGCAGTTATGAAATTTTATGCCCTGAAGGTCAAAGGTTGAGCCATAGCAGGTGTAGAGGTAGCCTGCAATGTGATGTTTACTGAGGCACTAAACCAGGAGGAAGTGATTCTGGGTGTGGTATAATGTGTCTGGCTGTTGCTTCTGTGTCCCTGTCAGCTCCACAGGAAATTTCGGGCCACACGTCGGCCATAAAAAAGGCTCTATGGTGCAACAACGATCAGCAGATCCTCTCTGCTGCTGACGACAAAACCATCCGGTCAGTGCACTGTGACACACGCCCTCACCCGTCTTACCTCTCACTTCTGACAGTAGACATAGCAACCACTCTGTTCATGTGTGTAGGCTGTGGGACAGGAGCTCCATGGAGGAGGTGAAAACACTGACCTTTGACACGTCCGTGAGCAGCATGGAGTACGTAGCTGATGGACAGATTCTTGTGATCACGTATGGAAAGACCATCGCTTTCTACAACGCTCTGAGGTCAGCCTGCAGCCACACCCGTTCATTGTCAATGAGTGACGTGTATAAAACAGAGGGCATCCACCACCTCTATTAATGCTGATTTATTACTGACTTTGTTATTGATTAAGCATTCATCATTTATAATTTAAATTTGTTTCTATTTTTATTAATATTATCAAGCTTGGAATTGATCAAGACTGTGGAGGCCCCAGCTCCTATCAACTCAGCCTCCTTGCATCCAGAAAAGGACTTCTTTGTTGCCGGTGGTGATGACTTCAAGCTCTACAAGTTTGACTACAGCACTAAGGAAGAGCTGGGTGAGCAGCAAAGTGCTCCATTGTATCATGAAGAGGAGCAGTCTGACTCCTTTAATGAAATTAGAAACAGAACCTGTCAATACAGAATAAATGCAAGTCATAAACTCGTATTTTATTCACAACAGAACCTAGGAAACATATTGAATAATCGCACTGAGCAAACCGTTCATTTTGAATTTGATGGCAGCCACACAACTGTGGAAGAGAGGACAGGGCTGTGTTTCCCCCTGTGCACCATCCTCGCTTCTTTTAACTGCTGAGGGGAGCAGCCGCTGACTTTTCTCACTTTTCCGCTGAGCCCTGAATGTCTCAGCTATCCAATACTTATGTCTGGCCTTGTCCCTTGCACACAGAGACGTCACCAGATTGTCGTAGTCTGTACACGATACAGTTTTTACTGAATGTGAACCTCTGGCTCTCTAACAGAAATGATCTTTTCATTCCCACTCGTGTTCCTGACCAGGACATTCCACGAGCTGATTCTTTTTTTTTTTTTTTTTTTTTCTTCCCCCAGTCTTTTGCTGCCAATGTGTTGCTGAGATCAAATTCAAAATGAGCGTAATGAAAAACATGTGTTGCCAGCGTGCTAGAGCAGGAGACTAATTTAAAAACATCTGGGTTCACGAGGTTCTGTTTTCATTTCAGTTTCACATATCCCAACGTTTCTGTTCTGCTGTCACTAGAGAGAGAGGGGGTTGTTTTTTGTTTGTTTTTTTTTTTATTTGTTTTTTTTTTAAACTCGCTGTTTGACCAGCTCAGCTCAGTTCATGACAGGATCTACTTACTTATCTGTAAATGTAAAAAAAAAAAGGTTAAACCCTGATTCTTTGGTCAGTTAATCCTTTATGTTTTCATAGACCAATCGGAAACTGATGGTGCTGCTGCTCATGTGTCTGCAGAATCCTACAAGGGGCACTTTGGTCCGGTGCATTGTGTTCGCTTCAGTCCTGATGGGGAGCTGTACGCGAGCGGCTCGGAGGACGGCACTCTCCGACTGTGGCAGACAGCGGTGGGAAAAACCTACGGCCTGTGGAAGTGTGTCCTTCCTGGTAAGTCTGAACTCTGAACTGATGACACGTGTTCATGCTTTCATCTGGATTCAGTTACACTGTTGCACTGTTACTGTAATGACAGCAATGCTGAACGAATGAATGAAAAAGTTTTTATAAAGATTAGAGCAATACAAAGCAGTCTTTGGCAACACTGTTTCAGTTGTGTGGTGTTGTGCACTGTATATGCACAAGAGACAAAGGTTGTGAGGCGGTGCTGCTGCTGACCACTCATCTGTTCTTACCTCAGAGCTCTGTGAACTATCCATATGATGTTATACCACAGCGTAGCACATTTTTCAAACCATGTCATGACCACATGGAAAATACTCGAGTTTAAACTGTGGCAGCATGTAGTGTGTGTGTGTGTGTGTGTGTGTGTGTGTGTGTGTGTGTGTGTGTGTGTGT